GAACAGCACAACTTTTAGATGGCAGGGATTAATTGCTGAAGCTGTGCAGGGGCAGTTGGTCTCAATGCCTGATGGAACTTGACTGAACGAGACAAATGAAATGTGACCTCTATCTAGCAAGGTTATAGTTCCAGTTGGACTTACATCTTAAGATTTGTGCTGAAGTACACAAGAATGGAAATTGCAAGGTAAGAAGCATACTAAAATATCTCAAAAGAGGTGACATGCTTGGCTTCTGGAGTAGGAGGGGTTAATGGGGGCTGAACATGAGTTTCAGTGCTGCTTCAGGTCAGGTGTTTGTAACTTGATGCCTCAGTAACCAGATGTTCTCTGCTGTTCTTATTAAAATGTATGTTTACTTTTAGACAAATGTTTTGAATTAGCCTAATGGTAATGCTCTAGGGGAAATGAGGATCTAAATTCATTTTTCATGCACTGAACAAAACAAATGCTGGCCTATATTTTTGGAAAGGATGAGAGATTCCAAGTGCCCTCAATATTTAAAGTCTAAAATTAGATGTCACAAGCATGACATGGAGTAGTTATTCAATGAAAATGTGACTTGTTTAAAGAGTATTAAATTGCATATAAAGATTATCCACTCCCTTTAGAAAATTTAGATTGTTTTTAAAAAAGCAGAAATTCTGGTTTTATTTTACAGTTGGTTCTTATGTTGGTGATCACAAGTCTTTTTGGGTTGTTTTGTTTGTTGTTTTTTTATTAATAGTAGATCCTTTACTCTAAAATTCTAAATGCAATTAAGACTTTGGAAGATCAAAACTTTCCTTTGGCTACGTCAGGCAGAGTTAAAGGTACCTGTGGCATCTAGGGATATTGGGACATGAGCAAGGAGATCCCAGGTAATTGCAGCTCAGGCAGAGACCTGCTCTTACATGGGGTTTGTTTCAAACATTAAAGCAACTGGGCTTGGACTAACCAGAGACTAGGGTGGAAGCAAAATAAATTGTGGAATGATGAAATTACTCTGAACAACTTAATGAAAAAAAAAAAAAAAAAAAAAAGCTCTGATCCCACTGAGCCATTAAATGATTGATTTCCACATGGAAGCACCCATCTCCTCTGACAAGTCTTTAACAAAACTGTTTCTTTATTTTCATGTGGAAAGGTTCTTGTCCAAAAGATTAAAAAGACTGAGGGGAGAAAGGGACAGAACAGGTAATAAGTCCAACAGGCAGGAGAAAAGACATTGAAAAAGAAGACTAAGTACCTGTGCATTCATTAAACATAAAGGTAGCATTTGCAGAGGTTGGGATTGCTAAATGTTCAGGTTGCTGGTAAATTATGCAGGAACACAAATAGTTTTAAACCTTCCAATATATAATTTAACATTTTCTTCTGATGGTTGTCTTTGAGTCCCGATATGTCAAGGAGGTTAATGGCAAAACATCAAATCTAATTTCCCTGCAATCACCAAGTAATATCTTGTGCTACTAGGGAGCTCTGAGGTTCTGTGAGAACCTGAAATCAGAACAGTTGGCATCAGGTTGCAAGTGGCATCCCAAAGAGCTCTGCATTAACCTGTTCAGGCAGCCAAGCTACCAAAGTGATCATGGCTGAACACCCAGAACCTTGGCAGGGATGCAAACCTTGGCATCTCTGCTAACTATTGTAACAGTTAACTTTTGCTGTGTTCAAAAGATGAATTTAAAATGTTACTGCTCTAAATGCCATGTCACTAATTATTTTTGGAGCTAAGCCTCCTCAGATACAGCCTTTTCTAAAATACTTAATGTGATAATATCCTTACAGCCATAGTCACACTCCAGTTCCTTTCCTCTGCTGCTCTGTTTCATTCATGCCTTCAGAAGTCTGAAATAGCCTAAAAATTCTCAAATGAGCTGTAAGGAGCCCACAGAGAAAGTCTGACTTGTTTTCTTGAAATCCTTGGGGACACATATCTAAATCCTTTCCCCCGTTCTATCAGACTACATTATCTCCCTCCAGACACAAGGTACAGTCTACCTCTAAGGTGCTCTGGTTGTTGCTAAGATGAGCATGTACAGATCAGTACAATCTGTTTTCCAAAGGCTGGTGTTTAGAACCAGCTGCTGATTGTGCTGCTGGCAGAGGAGGAGAGGCTGACAAATGCTGTGCTCACCTTCGTGAGACCTCAGGCCACAAGGTACAGTCTACCTCTAAGGTGCTCTGGTTGTTGCTAAGATGAGCATGTACAGATCAGTACAATCTGTTTTCCAAAGGCTGGTGTTTAGAACCAGCTGCTGATTGTGCTGCTGGCAGAGGAGGAGAGGCTGACAAATGCTGTGCTCACTCTGGGAAGCGAGGATCCCCTCAGTTCTGTGGAGAGCCTGTGCAAGGGGAATGCCCAGCTGCCTGGGAATGCTCTCCCTGGCAGGGCAGAAGCAGCTTTGGTCCATTGCTGGGGAGAATAACAGAAATGTTATGTAGAAACTCACTCTAAAAATGGGAGTGGGTGGGATTTGAGGGTCAGTAAAATGAAATCCTAATTCAGGAAGCTCTCATTCCCCACTCCACAGGATCTAGCTGCCTTTTGCCACAACAACCAAATTGTCTCCACTTCTGAAATAGTCGTGCCAAGAAAGGAAACAGCACAATAGTGCCCATTGTGTGGGGTCACTGCTTGCAATGCAAAGGTAGAATTAATGGCAAAATAAAATGTATGTAATTGGATTAATTAACAGTACATTTCAAGGTCCTGAAATAAAGAATTACCTGCAGTATAAAGTCACAATGCAGGTTTTTCCTGCAAACAGAACAAGTGCTATTTTTGGAGCTGTATCTGTATCTCACTGAGGTGTGCCTTGCTTAAAAAGCCACTCAGATAAGAAATGAGGCTTTGAAGGGGAAGATAAACACTATAATTAGGGCTGCAGGACAACAAAAGGATTATTCTTAAATATAAAATCATTGGAGTGAAGTCGCTTGAAAGATAATTATACCTAAAATTGCTTGCATGGGGTCTAATATTTTCTTTACAAGGACTTGCAAGACTCATTGAATATTTATGGGCCTGGAACATAAAACTGGATGAAATTTAAAACATAAATTCAATTGCAATTTATTGTGATGAAATTCCCAAGCAGTCATTGCCCCAACCTTTTAGCCTTAATAGACAGGCTTCATGCTGCAGAACACAAGCCTGTGTGATAAATGATACCAAAGCTGAATGCCCTTGATTGATGAATGCTGCCTTGTTTGATGACTGTAACAGAGTCCTGAGGGCTGATCTCACCATCATTTTGGTTGTTTTCCTTTTTTTTTTTCATATTGCATATATTGGAGAAGGGTTGTTTGTGCTTCTGGTATGGTTCTCACATGCAAATGAGCATGCTGTTTTCCCAGATGCAGATTTCATATTTATAGATTAAATACAGCCTGAAAAATCATATGTTAATTATATTCTGAGGGTGTAGCAGAATTTCTCACTTACATGTTTTGTTTTGCTGGAAATAGTGCAAATTCCCAATCAATGCATTTAGTTGCTTGAAGCTTGGCAATAAATACATCACGCTTTAGAAAAAGCTTTCTAATCATTATTATTACTAATCATTTAGCATTATCTCAATGCTTGGACTTCTATCCCATATTATATTTTTGTTTATTTGTTTTTTACTGATTTGTATTTCTCAGAAAACAACCAATACTATAGGAAGGGGAGTGGGGGAATGACTAAGGATCCAAGCCAAACAAGCAGGTTATCAGAAACAGTTACAAAACATCAAAAATAGGATAATGCTTAAAAAACCCAGTGAACTTCATTATTATAAAGTCTGAAGCAACAGCCATTCAAATCAATAGGAAACTCACTGGTTCTCATGGGGACAGGATCAAGCCTATGCAAAGCAAACAGTTTCCCACTAACAAGCAGTTAAAAAATATTATTATCTTTTTTTCCTAAAAAAATTAAGTCCTTTGATGACCAATTATGGTTTCAAAGATATGGCCATAATCACTGAGCTGGCAGGAATGATTAGCAGGGACTTGAAGCACAGGTAAGCCAGTCTCATGTTAGAATAGCCTGCTACAGTGTATTACAGTCTATCCTGAAAGCCACAAATGAGAACAAACAGTACCAAAATACATAGTACATTGAAAATACCTTGAAAATTGCCTCCCCTTCATCCCTTTTAAGAGCTCTCCTAAGTCTTTTAATAAATAAGCACATCGCAGAGGTACCAAAGAAACTGGCAAATAAGAGGTAGTTTACATAACAAAGCATCTCTGCCTGTAAGCCTCGTGCTGCTGGGGGCAGCACTTCGAGGTTCTGGCATCTGCAGCCAGGAAGGAAGGCAGCCGGGGGCTGTGTCAACCTTCCTGCTCCACTCCCAGGACGAAGAGAGCAGGCAGGAATAAGACTGGCCATACCAGTTTATCTTAGAGGGCAGTAAAAAACATGACCTATACTCCTCACTTACCTCAAGTACCAACACTCTGCATTTTGGCCCCCTTATCATTATGCCCTCAACAAATAAGCAGATGTTTCAGTCTTAAGAAGGCTTTCATCTTAATAATTTTATACTCTGTTTATATAAATAATCTTGGCTTTATGAACATATATGTGAGCGTCACACGTACCTGAATACATTCAGCTTGGGATAAATGGAATAAAAACTGCTACTGCAGTTTGGTTGGGATGCAACATGATCAGAACATGTGATGGTAGCTCTCTACAGTGGGGTGCTCCACTGTGTGCAAGAAATCATCCTCTCTTTGAGGCCTTACAGCAAGTAGAATTGTCTCTGCTCAAAGAGTTGATTTCTCCTGTGTGATCTCACAAAATTATACCAGTCTATAATGAACTGGTACACTAGAGCCAGTGTGCTGAATTAGAAACATTTGATAGTTTGAAGTAGTAGGAAACTTCTGTGATGTTGGCATGTTTGAATAGGATAATAATGTGTGTCTTGCTATCTCTTCTAAAAAGAAACCCAAATGTAATTACATATCCATTATTAAAGTGCTCCACACAGACTGCTGGGTTTCAGCTGTTGTCTTGCAATTCACTGGAGTCTTAGGACAAGATCCTGATAGACTTTCCTTTCACTTTCCCATGAATGGTGTTTCTTCACATAATCTTTGGCTCTTGTTACAATTTCTCTTTCCATAATAGGGTCATTCATCAAACTCTTGGACAGCACAACAAACTCCTGAAAAAGATAAAGGAAATAATAAAGGAAAAGTTCCTTGAAGTTGTAATGATACTGAAATAGCTTATGCCCATATCACAGAATCACAGAATCCTAGGGGTTGGAAGGGACCTTGGAAGATCATCTAGTCCAACCCCCCTGCCAGAGCAGGGTATATCTTGGTTTTGGTAAAGCACTTCAACAATGAGCTAACATATGAAGCTGGTCAAAGTAATTTTGAAGGTCAAATACTATAGTTTATGTCTAAAAAATGCTAAATACATAATCATTCGATATATTCTTTTATGCAGCCCACCAAGACATTTTAAATCAAAGCCAATCCCAAGACCATTAAGACAAATACAAGCCACAAATTTATTGACACAAAACTTTTTTGCCTAGCCAAGTGCAAGAAATCCAGGCTGGCTACCAATTAAACAGTTCCCCTGATCTCCTGCATGGAGGACAACTGGCATCAGGTGCTTGACCTCAGCTAATCTCAATTTACATCTCACTGCTACTGTGACATCTTCAGTTAGTTTTCTGGAAAGACTAAAATACTCACTATATATATACAGTCACAATATAAAGAGAAGAGGAGGCATCAGCAACAAGCTCTTCTGCAGTAGTTATAACTGGGCAGTGGCAGATACATCACTGTTAGCTCAACAAGCTCTGCAAAAAAAGCCATATAAGAATTTCCTTTAACTTTACTGGGAAAAATACTAGACCTCACAGATTACAACTATTCTTTTTCCTCTGCCACTCTAATTTAGTTCTAGGGAAGAGAAACTGTGAACTTCAAACATGTAAAAGGAGATTTTATGTTTGAACTAATCTATTCTGAGCAGCTGGTCTAATTTTCTATCAAGAGACAACTTCCAATACTTCAGCTTGATTACAAATGTACTCAGATCTTTGCAAACTAGTGTCTTGGTTCAGCTCAGCAAAGCAGACAGCTATTGTGTCAATGGAAAATGAATATAATACATTGCATCACAACCAGCAGTGACGATCTGTGCACAGGAACACAGGGAACAAAAAGGATGGCAGGAGATGTATTATTTACACAATCTGTCAGCTACGAAAGGCAGTATCACAAATAAGACAAGTTCATCTCAACACTAGATTAACTAGCATACTACACTTAAAAACCTAAGTACACATTGTATATAAATACATACAAGCTGTAAAACCTTTGGTTGCCACAGCATCAATGTTGCTGTTGCAATGCAGGGGATGGCTGTGCATGATGTGCGGTTATAATGTGACCCCTGGGAAACACTGAAATGTGAAATCACATTGAACATCTTCTAATCGCTGCTTTGACTCTCACTGACAAGACAAACTATCAATATATGCATCACTGCCATGAAATTTACATTGGCAGGGATGCACATTAGTTCTGCTGGAAAGGTTTGTAACTGGGTGATAGAGTAAGATGATCTCCAACATACATGTTAATGATAACCTCTTATTTTACATCAAATCAGGACTTCCTGGAATCTTTGCTCTGCCCACACAGCACTGGAATAGCCATGAGGGTCACATGCTTTGTACTCAGCCTGCTTTCCATCCACAACATTCTTGCATTCAGGTATGTGCTAATTTAAGTAATGGATTCACCTCCTTGCTCAGGACCCATGTGGTGTGGAGAGGCTGTTGTTCTGCCTGCCTGTGAGACTACCCCAGAAGAAGACAGGTGAGTCTGCTCTGGAGAGCACCTCCAGGCTGTGTCTATCACACGCTGCAGGCTCAGCCAATGCCTCTGACTTCAGAGACTTGTTCTTTTCCTTCCCTGTATCTGCCAAGAATACAGAAGAGGGGAGGTGGGAAAGTCTTACATGACTTATGCTGCATTCATCCAATTGCCTGTATAATCACAGTAATAAATACTGTTCACACTGAACTACATTCCAACTTTAATTTTATGCTCCTGTGGAGGATTTTATTTAAAGTAATGCTTAAAAATAATTTATGTAAATTACCTAAGAACAGAAGCAGCAATGTAACATTTCTTGACAGGTAGTCCTATTAGTATTCTTTTAAAATGTGGATTTAGAGGACAAAAACTTGGAAACATATAAATGATAGAAGAAATGAGATCCTTACTCATGATTACAATACTTAATGCTAGAGATAATTTCAGGAAAATGCCAAACTGAGTCCAAAGCATAGAAGCTGAGAAGCTGCAGAAGGGAGAAACAGCAAATGGAAAATACCAGGAGACAGAGAATAAGGACTTCTCAGCTTTATCCCTACTTCTTCTTCTAATCAAATGTGACCACCTACAAGTCACTTACAGTCTGACTGGAAGCCAATGGGAAGATTCACTGTGACTTATCTGATAGCAGTAACTTCATTTCTCAGGTGTCTCCCTTAACTCCAGCTGACGTGCAGTTCAGCTGTAGTTTCTGAAGCATGGGGTCCCACTTGCAGAATGCAGACCTTCAGAACTCAGAGCTCTTTCAGAAAATCAAGCATTTAATTTTTCTTTTCTAGAACCATACGATTGACATACAAAGTACTTACACTGTTAATGTCTCTTTATCAGCTGATATGCTGTAAGTATTTGTGCAAGTGATATCTGCAAATTACTCTCAATTATCAAACATAAGGATAATGCACTTCAGTGGCCACAATGAAGGAGAGGATATGCATGCTAGCTTACCACTTGGGGAACACCCATATTTCTAATAAGCCTTTTATTCAGGCACAGAAATGGGTATAATTTGTATACATAAGCCAGTGTAAAAGGTGAACCTGAGCAGTTAGCCACAACACAGAAAAAAAGAGGGAAGAAGACTATCTTATGTATATCCAGATCTGCTAGTACATGTGCCCTTTTTATGGGTAGTACTTCACTTCAAACACAGGCTTTTTTCATCCTGGTAAATTGACCAATCACCTTCAAAGAAAATGTCAGCTTCTCTATATAGGACCAAAAAGAAATTCTGTAAAACATTTTTTAAAGACCTAGAAATGCAGGTGTCTGGGAGATAAAGCTAGAAAATGCCTGCACTGAATAAAAAGAATTACCACGAGAACTACACTGGTGCCGCCGCTCACAGATAATGAAAATAAGATGCATGGTTAATATATTATTTATATAATGAAAGTAACTGTGCAATTAAACCATTCATATCAGCTTCAGCAGATAGAAGAACATGATTCTTAAACAACAGAGAATTACCCCAGGGAAGGCAAATGCCAGGTGTAAATTCAGAATAGTGACAGATCTACCTAGTGCAGACAGAGCACAGAAGTTAGCCGGCACATCTGTGTGCTTCAGAGGGCAATGGGCCAGGATTTCTAGGGGAGGATAAACAGTGAGTGCTGGCACTGCCAAAAATTGTAAATCAGTCTATTCAGTGTGAAGGTTCAATGGGCTGAAAACTTTGGCTATATTCTGGCTTCAAGCCCTGGTAGAAATGGCAGAGGAGACCCTCAAAGTATTGCTGCCTGTGCTCAGCTGAGCTGCCTTTCCCCTCACCACTTCAAAAGCTGTCTCTGCTAACAGTAGGCTTTCCAGGTCCTGCTCTCTCTCAAACTCTCTTTATGCTTCGGCCCTCTTACTGACTTTGAAGTTTATTTACCTCCTTCTGGTTGTTTAGCTCCTTCTGTGAGCTTTTAGAGATGCTGAATACATAATTTTGAAACATACGCTGCTGAGTAACTCAGTGTCTTCCCTTTTAACTTGGTTTTGTGTTATTTATTGCCCAAAAGCTGCTGGCTATTCTTATCTCTCATTTTTTGTATTTCAGATCCCATTAACTCACTGTCAAATATTTCATACACCTGTACATTCAAGTAGTGGCAGGATCAAATCAAGATTTAGAAGTGTGCGCAAACACTGAAGTATCAAGTATCACTGAAGTATCAAAATGTTTCATAGCTTTCACTTTTACATTAGCTCTTGCCATCTGAGTATCATGGTCAGTGGTTGGCAGGGCTTTCCCCAAATCCACTCATGTAGCCTCAGCCTGTGTGCAAATGGTTAATGATTGAATACAATTATGCACAAAAAGTCCTGCCTTCTGTAAGCCACAAAAGTTCCCTTTCAGCAAGAATAAAAGAAGAAAACCAACAGCATTCACAATTCAAAATGACTCTTGTTGTGTAATGGTCAATTTATACACATCTAATTTAGTTTTCAAAAGGTAAGACAGTCCACAGAGCAGACACAATTGCTCATAGCTAAACTATCTGTATTGTAAAGCTTTCTCTCCCCAGATCAGTAACAACTTGAAAATAAGCAATGCTTTCTACTCTTGACCTGTGATACAGTCTGTATCATCACAACCAGATAGGATCCACTAAGCTTAGCAATGAAAATGTCTTTGACATTGTCATAAAAATCTTTCGTGGCCCAGAGTCTTCAAGACAAGAGATAGACTTTCCCAAGCACCTAAATACAACACTAATCTCTCTCTCTGTATGATTAAAAGCATTTCCCCTAACTAACATGATGCAAGTGAGGTTGCAGCAGAAAATAGTTTACCAGATCTTGAAGATGTCGAAGTAATCAGAGTAACAAAAAACCCAGAAACCTTAGCAGAACATATGTTTCCCATCACTATTGCCAGACTGAATGCTCTAGGGCAGTATTCAAAGTGCCATGGGCAGACTTCCTTCCTAAAACAACAAAAATGTGAGGAATTCCTTGAAATTGTGTGTGTTCTAACTTAATCACATTTCTTTGGTCTAACATAACTCTCAACCTCTGATACACTATGTACAGTGGTTTAAAACTGTATTTGATATGGCTTGGGTAAATAAGGAACAAGAGTGAATGGCTACTTCATCCCTGAAACCATGAGTGATTATGATTGGCATTCTGAGCTCATCACTGCAAGGAGAAAGTTTTTCAACAATTCTGCAGTGGGATTAGAGTATTAACCTGCAAACAAATATTTCCCTGACCCATTTGCAAACATTGAAAGTTTATACATTATTTAACACCAATGAAAGTATAAAAGAGCTTTTATTAAATGTGATCACAATTGCTGTTTTGCAGAGAAAGGAGGGATATTCATTTTGTTTCTAAGACAGGGTAATTGCACAAATATTAATGATTTCAGTACAAATACCACCTAGGAGTATGGCAGTGAAGATGGCAGTGCAAGGTACCATTTGCACTAAAAAGAGATGCTATGGACTATTGAGAGAGAGTAACAGGAACAAGAGGGTCAACAAGTAGCAGAATAGGGGAGTTTCTGATTTTTCGAAGAGCACATTGCAGAGAAGGAAGCTCAGACAGAAGGTGTTTATACAAACTATTATAGAGTTCTAGACTTATTTATACCCTGTGACTCTAGTTCTCATATAAAGTCCTTAGTCATTTGTACAAAGACACTGATGTCACTGGGACTACTGTGCTTAAAATTGTACTTTCCCCTAAGTGAGGAAATATATAGCAGATTTTTAATTGATCTTGAATTCCAAATAAGCATTTGGAATGTAACATACTTGGAGATCACAGAAGAGACTTCCTACAAGGATGTATGATGAACCTAATTGGGTCTATTATGAATAATGTATTTGCATTCCAAGCCAAATGTAACCAGCATGTTGAAGGAGACAAAATGTATCAGAATTAGTACCAGGAGAGCCATCAGTCTGCCTGTTCATGATCACCCAGCCTTGAAGTGTTGAAGAAGCACATGAAAGTCAATGGCCTTTTTTGCAGGGAATGCACGTACAAATAGTTTCCTAAGTAGCTTTACATCTCAGCCTCCACTGGCTGGAATTACCCCATTTCCAAAGGATATTGCAAGAAGAGGGAATGCTTCCACAACAGTTTTTTGTAGAAACCATTGGAAACACTAAATATTCCAGAAAAAAACCAACCCAACAAAACAAATCATGAGCTATAAGAACTTTTCTATTAAAAAAACCTCCAGCACTCACTGAGAGAATTCACCTTCCTGAAACACAACTTAATAGGATGCATTAATCACACATTCCACAAAGTGAATAAATATTACACATTTTCTACTTTGCAAAATTATCAAATGGACTATTCTAGTACTTTTTTTTTTTTTTTAATATTGAGTTGGATAAAACCACTAAGACAATCTGTGTCTGCAAGTCATCTTCCACAATGTATGGGAATATCTAACAGCACAGCCACAAAGCAGGAAAATATACTGAAATGACATTTTCCAGCATTTATACATGGGTAGTGTTCCCTCCTCACTCTTACTCATCTTCACAGAAACTCCATTCTAACACTTTGCTTAATTGTAGTGATTAATTATTTTCTGACTGAGCAATATCTTGGACCTAATAATGCTTTACATTAACCCTTACTGCTAGAAATTGTAGATAATGTATTACCTAAAGCTTCAGGCTTTAGCTTCTCTAAAAGCTTCTCTTTCAGTAGCTCCTGCCTGCCTAATGTGAGTTCATATTTCAGTTAGTCCTGGAAGGGAAATACAACACATGCAGCATCTCTTCCAGGGTTTGCTTATGGAACATTCAGAACTGAAGTGCAACAAGTTGTTAAGAACCAAGAAGCCCCACTCAGCTGGAAGGCTCTGAAGCTGCACAGGCTGGAGAAACATTCAGCAAGGCTGACACCTAGTATAAATTTAGTGAACTGCAAAGTGAATGTGAGACAATAGCAGAGCTTCAAGAAAGGCTGTCAAACACCCAGATTTTTAGGAGAATCTTAGAAAGACTGCTGAGAGACACAAGCATGTAATGGAACATGAACCCTACCTTTGGAAGGGAAAGGTCTAAGGATTTGTTGTTTTCTTACCTGGGGATCTGAAAATAGCAGTCCCGTTTCCTTATGTTTTACTATTGCTGCATTCCCAGGAATGTTCCTTGCCAGCACTGGAATATTTAAATCCATTGCCTAGAGAAATGCAGAGAAAGGAAACAGCACTTTATTAGAATCAAAGGATTTTGACATGTTCATGATAACAATTTAAAAATTAAAAGCAGCAACAAGAAACCAAACTTTTTTCCCCATTATTGGTCTGGGACTCCTCAGAGACCAGGGAGTACATCTGAAGAAGTAGGACTTCATTCCACATAAATTATGGGCTGGTTGTTTGATGCATTTATTAATGTATTTGTATGTACATGTGCATGTATGTACATACATTAAAATACAAAAGGAAGAGTGGGGTCTCAACATGGCAGCAGTTCAGGTTGCCTGCAGAGAAGCAGCACAGCATTTGCTCAAAGCTAGTAAACCACTCCCAGGAGATGTCATGCCTTGCAACTTTTACAAATACATATTAGAGTTTGAAGTACCTAGTGTGCAAACCCTGGCCACACAACTCTGTTATGCATATCCTGATCTGAAACTTTACTTACTATTGCTGAATTTGCAAATCTTGAGAAGCACTGACTGTAAAACCAGACTATCTCACATTGTACAATGATCAACACCGTCGAACAAGAGAAAAAAAAATTCACTCCCCCAAATCTTCAATCTGTTCCATCCTGATTCCCTATCACTTCAGACTCAATGTGTTTTTACTTACTGTCATTACACTCCTGGCTGGGGAGCAATTTTGCTTCAGTCTACATAGCAAGAAAACAAAACTCCAAGGAGAAAACCCAGGGGTTTTTTATAGTTTGGGCAAAACTGAATTAAAAAAAATACTCTGGCTGAACCAATTATGTTTTGAGCAGTGAGGGATCCCTGTGACTTAGCAACATGTCATCATAGCTTAAAATGTGCAAGAAAAGCACTGTTGAAATCACCACTGCAGATGAACTTACTCTGGACATAGAAATTCTACAGTCCTTCCAGCACAAACATCTGCTTTGAAGCAGCAGTTAGCTCTAAAAATAATAGTAACCTTTAATGAAACCACCTGTTCTACAGGTATTGGAACTACTGGGTCAGCTGAAGGTAATTCAGACAAACAGATTAATGAAGCGAACACAGACCAGTATAAATAAGTAGGAAATATAAAAACTACAGACCAGATTAGTTAAGTGTCTAAAGTTGTTGGGATACAGTTTTAAAAAAAAATAAATTTGGTGAGAAGAAAGACAGGTTTTGGTTACACAACTTATTTTGTAATTTGGTCTGGATTCACTATTAAACAAACCAAATCTGTTTTCCAAAGGTAGGTTTACAAAACCATACCATGACAGTGTGTGAGTGGCCTGTGGCACTGTACCTGTGTTGGACTGTACCTGGCATGTGGCTGCACGGGCTGGCAGAGCATTGCTGTGCAGTGCTGCACTGTAGGTTGGACTGTAGCCCACATCTAAAAACCAAAATGTCTCAAGATCTGTTCATTCACTTCTGTTTCTGAATGCCACACAGCTGATGATTCATTGAAGCTGATCACTAAGTTTGTATTTGATTTTCCATAATTTCTGAACTCTAAAGGGAAAGACATTTGTTCCATCCCATAGAGTTGCAGGGCAGTAACTGCTACAGAAAACTTTCAGGTCCCAAAACACATGGGCACCAGTGAATTACAGCTACTGAAAGACAGAACAGATGGCCAAATCCATAAGATGAGAAGCTGCCTTTATACCAGCTAGCCTTAAACAAATGGATTGGGCTGTAAATAATTACTGCATGAAGTGGCTTAGAATTTAATTTAGATACTTACTCTATTTTTAAGCAGTAAATAGAGTCATTTGTATTGTTGAAAATATGTATAATTTACTGACCTAGTTCCACAAATAATAGCATAAAATAACATTGAAGTCCATTGGCCATCTGTTTTCTTAGATTATTCTGACTGCAAAGTGTTTTAATGCTATTTCAGAAGGATGCAGGGTGTAAATTTCAGCTTTGGAAGCATGTTACACAATAACCATTTCTAACCACCAATATAAGGCTTATAGAAATACAGGTTTTATTCCCTATTTTGTCTTCTGGACTGTCCTTCATTTTCTTCCTCCTAACATAGCCAATGCATCTTTTTGTTGCCCCCTTCTTCAATTTTACTGCTTTACAGCACCCCTTTATTTTTATTATTTTTACAGTTTGCTATGGCTTATATTCCAAACTACTAGGCCTGTATTTCACTTTTTGTCTAAGCCTGGATTGTGCCCTACACCAGAATAAGGTCTGACTGGCTTTTCTTTTTTTTTTTTTTTTTTTTTTTTTTTTTTTTTTTTTTTTTTTTTTTTTTTTTTTTTTTTTTAATTGACTTTTTTTTTTTTTTCTGTTGTAAAAGCCTAACTGCCTAATTATTTTTACAAAGTCAGAATGCTCTTGAGAGCACAGAAAAAGTACTCCAATGAAACGGTGCTGGAGTCAAAACCTTTTTCTTATCAACTGTATAGAGAACATAACATTTTCCAGTAGAAGTGCCTTTTTCCCCACCAACATGCAGAACTCCTGAGCTTTCTAAGGAACAGAGCATTTTAAACACTTGGTATAAAGCTTGTTTTCTCTTCCTCAAATGCCAAACAGAAAACAGGTCACAGCAAAATCTCCAAGGTATCAGTGCTACATGACAAAGGAATTAGTTATGGCTTCTAGTTCTTCCTGCCTTAAGACAGGTTGAAATAGATATGATTATGTATTTATCTCAGTTATCAATTATACATTTCTCTCATACCAAAATACTGTTTACAGATCCATGACCTTAGAAAATTTTGAGCTTTCAAGAGAATGGAAGTTGTGTTTCTAAATTCAAGCAAGATGTATCTCCAGCCTAGAACCAAAAGATTTTTATACATAGTTCCTGAAGATAAATATAGCAGGAAGTTTTTACTATTCTGTTCCTGTAGCAATTTTTAGTGAGCAGAATTTTTTTTAAATTTCTTTTTAATTTTTTTGACAGCTCTGGGTTTTGGGAGTAAGCTACTCAACATAACTATGCAGTGGAAACTTGAAGGAACAGCTTTTCACTAGAAGTGGTATTTGACTGTTTAATAGCCCTGGTAGGATAATTGAGTATTTTAGCCACACAGAGAAGAGATTCAATTAAAACTCTTCTGTTTGATATAGTCTTGTCAAAGAGGAGAGCAAAACTCAGTAATTCCTGAAGCAGGCACAACATTCCTTCTGAAGTTTACCGGTATCATCTTTCTGCACTGAATTTACAAGATTGCTCCACCTCCTGATACACACTAAGGAAACTGCCCTTTAGCTGCTCAAATCTGATGCGAAAATTTTGGGGCAAGCTATACCAATTGTCTTGTCAGTCCTGAGTTTGCACAACAATTTGTGTCAGGCCAAGCACAATTGCACTTCTGTTGCAGATGCTGTGTCTCCTAAAACTCTTTCTAGTTTGCCTCCCTTCCCTCCTAACTCACTGACATTCTTGTGAAATAAATTTGTTTGATTTTTGGTCGTTATGTGAGCAGCCCTGATGGGAACATGTAACTGGTGAAGAGGAGGTAAGAGTTACTTAACTTTTCCTTCTCTGAGTCATTGACTTGGCTGTGTATTGGGTTGGCACTCTCTCATTTCAACTCTGGAACATACAAAATTTGTCTAGCCTGCCACACTGATAAGTCTGGAAATGTCACAGTCTGTAGTAATTGTTGTTTATAGAGTATTGTTGCTGTGAAAGAGCATCTGCTTCCACCTCTGGGCATTGGCATTTCAGAAAGGAAACACATTTGCTATCTTACCATCATCTAACTTCCATAATTCTTACAATGCTCACTTAGTTCTTACTTATGACGGTCTTTCAGATTTGTGAAAGAAAAGCATGCTGGAAATGCAACAGGTGATTACTCATTAGAAACAGAAACAGGACATTAATTAACACAAATAATGTAATTATTTCTGTGATCTTCTGAGATTATCAAGAGCCAATGTTCAGAAGTCACCAAAAAAAATGGAATAGTAAAAGACACCTGCCCAAAGAACTTCCAGTTCAAGTATATATAACCTTTTCTGAGAAAGCATTGATACTAAGCAGTATCCTATTTTGACAGGTATGAAATAAAGGTGGATATTAATTTTCAATACTGATGGCAAAAAATTAATTGAGCATGTCATTCTTTCATTAATCATTTCACAATTAAACAAACAAATACAGCTCTTAGATTGCTTCTTGAAAGGCTGTGAAAATAAATGAAAGTCTATTCTAGCAACATTATAAGGAAGTGGACGTTGAATTAAGAATAGTGACAACACCAGTAAATCAGAATGATTCTTATATCTCAGATCTATATTGTTAATTTAACAGGATTGATAAAATTACATTCTGTCCCTAAAAAATAAATAGACGAAGCATAAAAATCTGTCAGTTCAAGGGAAGAAAACATTAATTACTAACACTTGCAAAAGTAAATATTTCAGTTTTTTTCTTCACTAGCTTTGAAACATGGGCATAAATTGTTGATACACATTTCCAGTAATAAAAGGTGACTTCAGAGTCACTAAAACCTCACTGAAAAACCTTATAGCTAAGCTGCAATTACCTCCAGAATGGCAGCAGACATCCCCTCTGAGATGGAGCTGTTCACCACAGCAAAGCACCTTTTCATAGCAGCATGAAGATCATCCTGTGGCAGCTCCTGTAACAAATGTACTCCAGGTGACCTAGAAATCAAAAGCACACAAATAGGACACCTCCTAAGAACATGCTCTAACACTTCTTCCTAAAACTTGAGGCAATGATGGAAGGTGGTCAAAGCAGTTCAGGCTCTGATGCTAACAACTGCTTGCCTATGGGCAAGCCACTTCACCATGTTTGCTAGCTTTCTATCTATAAGTGCAGTTATAAAGTCAATCCAGCACACATTGCTATCTGCCACTTCATTGCCTGCTGTTCCATGGATAAGGGTGCAGTTTTCCCTTAAAGGATTTGTGTAACATAGGGAGGATGTATCCAGAGATTTATAAAAACCCACACAGTTTAAATACTTAGGGAAATGGAGTGTGATCAATTGAACAGTCAGCTGGAGGAGGTGCTGATTTTCAGATGCTGGCTGTTGGGGATGGGATGTGGTTCTGAAAGGTCACTGCTACTGCTTTTATTAGAAGCACTCTTCTGTTCTGAAGGGTTACATTTCTATTGCCACCATCTTCCTCAGATTAATCAAGGTCAAACAAATCAAGGAAGAAGGGTGGAAAAATACGGTAATTAGGTGTTTAGTCTCAGGTGAAGGAATGAGATCTTTATGACTGGTGATCATTTCTGAAATGCCAGCATCCCCTCTGCTTGATGTGCCTGCACCTGCCTCTTTAACATGAGATCACTAAACCAGGTGGAAACACATGTGCATTTGACATGAAGACCAGCTCCCTGTCAACCAGGCTGCTTTAAACATTGCTTTTCTGATTGTGCAGTAACATCCAGATTCTGTAGAGATAACTAACTATATCAAGTGGAGTATGAATGCATGATTACAGGCGTCATGTTTCCCATTAATAACCTGATAGAAAACAAAAATATTATCTCTTGCTCCAAAAATGGAACTGCAGAACAGGTGTTTTATGCAAATTTTATCAGATGATTTAAATCACAAATAATATGGTTGTTCTGTTCCAGTCACACAATTCTAGGTTCTGCAGACACACACACAAAAATGTCATTCCTCTAATAATTTTATCTTTCAATCAGGAAGAATGTAAACTAGGAAGAGACAAAAGCAATACAGGGTTATCTTGTCCATCTACTCATGTAACCACCAATAGCAAGCACACAAAACTGAGCAGAAGCCATGATGAAAGAAAGAATGAAAAGACCCAAAAGCATATTAAATATAAATCACACTAAATCAGATGTGATTTAACACAAAACCTGAGGATATATACAAATTATTCTAAAATTTATAATGTGTAGAAATCACTAGTCTGAGAATGTTACATGCCAAATAATCAGTACAATTTGTTAGCCATAGAGTTGTGTATGGCTCTTTAGCTGCATATACTTAAAAGCATTTACACACATGATTTAAAAAGCCAGTCAGGCAACTGCTTTCACTTGGAGAAGCTAAAAGGCTTAACTTCTTACCTTTTAACTTTTTCCTTAACTTCACTTGTAAAAAGTGGATCAACCTAGAAAGGAATACACACATGATATGGCACTACTTTAGCACTATAGCAATACGTTTGAAACAACCAGAAAAAAAAATTAAACTACATTTTTGCTAAAATATTTAAATGCATGAGTGTGCTGAGCTCTAAAATCATACCACAGATCTGTAACTTGGTGGTTACATTTGACTCTGCAGTGATTGACACGTGGAATACCCAGCTGGGGGTTGTGCAGAGCAGAGTGTGAATTCCCTGCTCCACTCCAAACCTTTCAGGGACTCCTCTTGCAGTATAGCTTCGGGCTACTTCAGAAAGGAGAGGTTCCATTTCTTCTCCCCTGACATCCCTCTGGCTGCAGGTTCTAATTAGAGCTAGATGTGTTTAACAGGAGTGACTGTTTTCAGATGGCTCTGCCAAGGCTAACATGATTCAAATGACCGACTTGACAACTTGTCTGTGAGGAACAATGCACTGATGTGCCAAGCAATTGTCTATCCCTTTATGCATGGAGTAAGCAATGTGAGAGAGGAAAGGAACTTCTCAGGCTTCAGTTAACATAGGAAACTATCTGCAGGTACCCTGAGAGTCAGATAGATGTTCAGCACTGACAGAAACATTTGACTGAAGACCAATAAACACAAAATTCTAAACTACAGTTTGCATGAAGGGATGTTAGAGTTATTAACAAGTTGTCTAAGCTGGGCAATTAACTCCAGCAGGTTTATTTACAAAACTTAATTATGTCTGCTATTTTATTTTTCTTTTATTTTGGTAGATCCTGAAGAGCAGAACTAGACCGTTTTTATTAAGGCTGAGTGTATCAGATTAATTTAAGATAGTTTGCACAGCACACAGCAGTTGTAAGAACTGCAAACAACAAGGCTTGTTCTTTTTAACACGTTCATATTTTGGTTTGGGTTTTTTTTCTCACATTATGAGATAGAGACACTCACAAAGCATTTTAGAAAACTCTTTTGGAAGAAAGTCTTAATTTATTTTGTAACTATGGTTGTGTACTTTGAGCAAGAGACTAATTTTTTCACTAAAAAAAGGGCTTCATAAATTAAAAGATTCTAGGTAATCACCACTGCACTAAGGAATTAATTCCTACTAAATGCAATAAATAAAAGTTTAATGTAACTTGTTAATAAAATATATTTGTTAAGAGCAGAAGGTGAAATCAGGTGTCCTTTCCTGAAATACTGCTTGACCCTGGCAACAGAGCATAATACAAATCTGCACACCAAACCAGGTTGTCACATCACAGGTTCCTTGGATGTTTCATACTGAACTTCATGATTGTTATCTGTATAAAGACACGTATAAAGACTTTTCCAAGCTTTTCCCCAAAGTACTATTTTGATGCTGATTTCCTCTCATGAAGAACTATACTGTTTCCACCAAAATCAATGAAGTATATGCAAGTGATTTCATATGGTCCTTTGCTCTTCTACCTTTAGAGGAATGAGAAAAATGACAGCCTGTGCCTCATAAAATTTGTAAGATATTAATTTCTATCCCATCTACTCCTGTGGAATACAAGAAATTGCCTTCTGTCTCATAAACAGAACAATCCTTTCAGCTGTATTCTTCTATTGGTAGATATTCCAAGAAGCCTGGCCTAAATATGAGAATTCACTTTCAATATTACTTTCAGCATGGGTGCAGCAATGACTTAGAGAAGTGATCCCCCAGAGCCACATTTAGAAACTTGAGGGGGCAGAGTTATCTAACCACAGGCTCAATATAACAGGAATTAGATACAACATAAGCTGTTGGGTAAGTTGGAAATCCACTTAAAAGATGTGAATGCTTCCAAAGGCAAGTGACTATGGCAAGATGCCTAGGAACTTAGCACTGTCTCAGAAAAAGCTACTGAAAAGTATGTCACTTCCACCCATGATCCAGTTCTTCTATGGGTAGAGTATTTGGTGCCAAGTTTTATTTTGTTACCTATCAATGTAGCAGGCAAATATGACAATCAGTTACTTATCACCTTTTGTTAAAAACTGGAAGAGGAAATAAATGCTAAAACTTTTACCTTACATAGGACCCGATCCTGTCAGATTATTTAGATTGCAACATTTGTGAAAACCATGCATCTTATGGAAGAATAGAAGAAACCAGAGTGTGAGCCTTTGTTTACTACATTCTTAATTAGTATAATATTAATGTGCTTTAAAAAATATTCACAGTAAACATGTCTTGCTTCACAGAAAGTAGCACTGATTTTCTTTACATTTTGTGGTTTGAGAATTAATAAGTAGAGCTAAATACCAACAGAACTGCTTTTCACTCTTTAGCACTATTTTAGTAGTATGAGAAAAATAAGCTTTTAAATGTTTTAAGGAGACTCAATTCTTGATTCCACCTATGCTCTGCTACAGGGTTATTCCTGGTAGCTTATGAAAAAGTGAAGCAAATTCAAAAAGATGACTAAAATGTTTAAAATCCTCACTGGAGGCAGCAAATGCATCTTCGGAGTTTAAAGCACAGCTTCATTACACCTACTCTAGATTTGCCTTCCACATCAGTTCATTTCCAAATCACTTTGTGTATTAGTGTGGAAAAAAAAATGCAGATAAAATAAAAATGTAAAAACAGCTCTTAAAAATAAAACCCCAGAAAGAACAAAACTGAATGAGAAAATAGAAAAACAGTTCTTATTTGCCCATTCAGACTTTATTTATTTCTTATAAAACAGACTGCCTGCAAGTTTTCAGGCTCATGTGGAGATGAATCAGAGATGGGGTGGAGTTGGGAAGATTCAATAGCTTCTCTTTTCTACCTTCACGCTTCATGAGCCCACATTTTCAAACCTTTCTCTAAAATGACAAATAGATTATTTAGTAATAACTGCAATAGGTTTGATTCAGGAGCTGGTGCTTCATGAAAAACCAATGCTGAGAAACTCATGACACCATTCTGAGAGGGCGACCCGACTGTACATTGTATCTGAGGAGAGTCAGCAATGGCAGAGAGCTGCCATTTAACTGGGTGACTCTGTTGTAAAAACAAAGAAGTTGTAACTTTCAAATTTCTTCAACGGGATCTTTAGGACTTAGGGGGAAAAAAATGAAAACTCACATGAGTATTGGCCAGCAGATTTACTACAATACTTACAATTCATTTGGAAGCAATTATACCACCTCTAAACTTAAACTGAGACATGGACAAATAAGAACAACTCTGTTTCTAATTGTATTAATTTTATTAAACCCCACCTTTCCTCTCAGATATCTGTATCCCAGACTTCAGTGAACTCATATTCTAAATGTGAAACAGACTTCACCAGTTTTATTTGTCAGCTCAAGGTCTGTCTTTGCTGTTTGGTGTCAGACAGAAACCTAACATCACTTGGCACCTGCTGACATCTGTTAATTGTGTACAAATTGAGACTACCAGAAATGGCATCAAAATCTAAATGGAATAGAACAAAGACACATGAACAAAAGAGGTAAGAACAGGGATAATGAGCACCTGATATCACCTTCACAGTATTAAGAATCCTCATTAAAAATATCTGCTAAAAAAATTCTTCTAGATGGAAACTGTTGCCTTTCAAAATACTTGATAGGCTAATTTGTAAATTATTTATGTGAAAATAAGCATTTCTAACATTTTATTTGCAAGAGTTCACAGTTCTGGTACTTTCTGGTCTGATTTTATACTATCCCACATATACAAAAACAGAAGCCAATATTAGAATATTTGGATACTTTTTATCTTCAAAAGTTATTTCTGTAGTCAAATGAAACACTAAAAGTTTTGTTCTAAGAGACCATAACAGATTAAAAGCATTTTCAAGTCATGTGCTTGGGCTAGACATAAAGTGATAGTAATTCAGCTGGAAATGCCCTTTAAAAAATAGCCCAACCATTCCTAACACAAAAAACCACCAGTATATGTTAAACAAATGTACAGCTGCTGATAACTATTTTAGTGCTACTGATAACTGTTTCAAGTAACAAAAATCTAACTGGATAGAGTTGGGCTACGTCAGTGCACATCCTCTTAGAAAAAGCTTCTTAGCTGCTCTGCCTTCTGCAATACAGAAGCAGAGTATGTGTCAGTGAGGAGGCCTCCCAGCTGAGAGCAGAACTCTGACCTTTGGAAGCCCAAGCACTGGAATCGCTGCCACTTTCCATGGTTGAAACCTGTTGTGAACAGCCTTTACAACTGCTTGGTTTGCACCTTTTTATCTCTGTAACAGTTAGAAGTCCCCTGACTTAGATTCCTTTAGGAAATAATTATTGCCATAACTCAGAGTAAACAGAACTATTTTGCAATCAATGTGCAAATAAAAAAAAAAAAAAAAAAATCACAACAACTTACTGCTGGTCCAATGATGGCCAGATGGACACTGGGATCCTTTCTGTGCCAATCTGAAACAGGAAAGGAACACTTTTCTATTAAACAGAATTAATAATTTTTAATTTAATTTGATTCTTTCTCTGAAACCAATGTAAATAGCTGAATGAACAAAGAATTGGGCAAATATTGTATTACTACTTAAAAGACTGAATATGTACCAGATTTCACACTCAGCCCTCACTTTGCTCATTAGAATTCAAATTATTAGCATATCTGAAAGTTAATATTTAGCATTTCAGCTTCCTGCAATCTCCTATGATTCAAGGGTTATTTAACTAAGCTCTGATATCAATTTTTAATCATCTCAAGAGAACTATGTTCTATAACAGGCAGTGACTATGGCCACTAAGACAAAATTATTTGGATTTTTTCCTATGTAAAGGAACATGTGGAAGCAACTGCAACCACTACAATTAATAGTTACATGCACAAGAGAAAGCCACTGCTCTTTAAACACCCCAATAGAAGAAAACCAGTTACTTGGCTTTAATAAACTACATTTGTTACTAAACATCACAAGGTGGCAAAAGCTTATAAAAGTAACCTAAATAGTGAAAGCTAAATTTACAACTTGCCATGCATGTACCTCTTTACAGACACAAACAGAACCTGGCAAACATTCAGCTACAAGACTAGAAAAACTTCAGCCTAGTTTACTGCATTGAGTCATTAACAATGGGTGGTAAAATATGCTTCTAAGTTCAGTGATATTAATTAGCACACATATCAGTCAGTGTAACAGCCATGGGACAGTAAGATAAAAAAGTTATTTTGAAGTAGGTGAACTCTTCTTTTGTCCTCCATTAATATCATATGTAACAGCAAAACAGTCTTCCCAGCAAGTAAGATCATCCAATATTGCTTTGATTTCAATGCTCTGCTATTCCCAGCAGGCTGGAAAAGACTCACTACTGAATTAATGTTTTGAATTGATCAATGGTTACAAGAGCTTTTTTTTTTTTTACATTTAAATATATTATGAATTTTTCTGCAATGAATAACACAGCTTATGCCAAACTTATAAACTTTAAAAGAAATTTAAAACAAGGGGACCCAAATAGCAGGTACCTACCTGAAAATACATTCACTAAATACAGAGGGTCTTTGACTCTTCGAAGTCCACATATCAAAAGGAACATATGTAAACTGTCTGTATCTGTAGGAATGTCTGTAACAAATAATTTTAAAGGTCTGAAACCAGATAAAAAAGCAGAACACTCAAAACTGCTTCATGAATGAGCACATACAGTGGTGAAAGCAGTTATAGGGTGGATTCTGAAAAAAATCTTTTTTTTTCCCCTCTGTTTCTTGCTGTTTCATCAATACTCAAGTGAGCTCAGTGGAGAACCTACCCATGGGCATCATTTTACAGGGCACAGGAGTTTATCTCTGGAGCCAGTGAATGTGCAGGATTTGGAGAAAAATCCAGTAGCCAGTATTCTTGAACACCAGAACCCAGCTTTGACTGATTGGGCAACTATACAAATCAGTGTGTTCCTCAATATTTGTATGTGTTAGAAGAATAAAGTTGTATCCATGTAATAACACCTATTTCAAGGATATAGTTAATTAATGGCTGTAGAGATTAGAGCTCTTGATCTGGCACTTTGCTAAGAAAAGATCAAATAAATGTCCCATAGTTATCTATCCCTAATACACCAGCACTGCTACAGAATAGTTAACTAGAACTTAAATTATTGCAAAGCATTTATTTTAACCTTATTGCTAAGAAACACAAATGGAAAATAATTGGGGAAAAAAACTCAGCCTGGGAGTTTTTAACATTGAATATCTCTCTTGCAAATACACAGCAACAACACAGAAATAATTTTGTAGGCTGTATTAGAAAAAGCAGATTCAATGTATGATAGTGCAGTTGCTCTTGGCTCTATGACAGCACAATTCATTCAGAACACACTTCTGCAAAAGGGTCACTACGTGATGAACTTTGGTAAAATGTGTTTATGATAAACCAACATAATTCACAAATTGCTGAATGAGCACATATAACAACAATATAATTTAATAAATACTAGAGGGGTTGAAATGTTCATATTTGATTTACTGCACTGGACAAATCAGTTTGCTGTCCTTCACCTATTTATTGGGCTCATGGCAAGGAGGGATGACGTATTATCTAACACTAGGCAGTTCAACAAGGAACATCCAAGTGCTGCTCTTCAGCAGAGGGAGAAACAAACAAGCAGTAATTCCCAACATACTCCACCTCTATTACCTTTAAAATTAAAATCCAGTTCAGGAACTTTTAAATGCTCCCTGCCACAGGATTCATTATTGAGTCTGTTTCATTTAACTTAAACACCTTGAGTTGTCAAGAGTGGCTGCAGCAAACATGGTAAGAAATATTTTACTGGTTATTGAACCAAGAAATAATTTGTAATTTATAATACACAAACATTTGGACTGGAAACACCATTTTTCTGGTGCAACAGGCCATTAATACTGTTTGTTTTTCTGACATGCAGCAGTGGTTTCGATTCATGACATAAGCTCACACAAAACAAACTACTGGAAAATGTCAGCAAAATTCAGATTGCATTTTAACTATCCATATGGAAGAAATATTAATGCTAAATTATGGACTCCCACCTATTGATGTTCAGCTCTGGCTATTTTGGAATAAACTTCAAGTTAGCAATGAAAGCATAGTCAGACAGCAGTGAGAAAGAAAACAGGTCTCCCTGCTCTCATGTGGAGACTACAGAATTATTGTACTCTTGATGAGACAATACACTAATCAACACCAACTATGCTTGAAATAACTGCTGCTTTTTATCTCCTAATGTCTTTTGGTTTCTATCTTGTAGCTTTTAGTCTTTTCATTTTATTAGATAAGGGTTTAAAGTGCTCAGACAATCAAAAGCCCTAGTAGACCAATTCTGTGCAGTCCTGACTGCTGTTCTGCTCCCTGTATGAAACATTTTGTAATTTGGATTTTGCCACTCAACGACTGTGGCATTTAAAGGTACTTCTCCCAAGAATCTAATCAGTAACAGTCTAATTATTTCACTAGCAGATTACCTAAAATATTTATTAATGAAAACAGCCCACTTGATTTACCTTTATTATTTTGAAAAGACATTCACAACTTTGAACAGTCCCTGCACTCTATCCCCTACATGCAACTTTACAAATCTTGCTTGTCTGTGATGAAATTTTATGCACTTTACTCTGAAAGAGCAGGTATTGGATACACTGGACTACAGACTGGATCCTACATGGCATTTCTAAAAACTGTCTCAGAAGAGCTAGCCAAAGAAGAATTTGCCTCTGCCATTCAATTTAGTGAAGTGAGACTAAGTTGTAGTTTTATTTTATTGTACGCTATAGATCTTAGTCATCACCTAATTCATTTTTACAAGGCAGACTTTCCCCACTCAATCCACTTAGAGGCACATAAAGTCATTCCTGAGAAGATTGCACTATCAGCACATCACTGCTACTGTTTAGTGCTGGGAGTTCACTTGTTCTCTGGCTACTTAAGATCAAACTTCAGCAGCACTTTTGTATCTTGTTAGCCTTCTGCTCAGTCACTGAAAATGGCTACAGTCACACATTAAGATGATGCCTGCATCAGTGTTTTCCCATCTGTTGCTCACTCAAGCCTTGCTAGCACCCCTGCAGTGGAAACAAAAGAAAACGGTAGCCATCTGTACAAGAAAGAAACCATTTTAGTGTGCTTTGTTCTCACAAGAATGCTGAAAAGGGTCACATATTAAGAGAATAACTGCAATAGCTGCTTTCAGTATTTGAAATAAGACTTTTTTTTCTTTTTTCTTGAGCTTAAACATGACTTTCAGTATATGAAGTTTTGCTATCATTCTGTCATTCCCAAATAGGCTACTTAATCTGTAAGAAGATACTGCTGCCTCATTTGATTCAGTTCTGAAATGGAAATACATCAATATGGCACAATCAACTGATTTTTTCTCTTGATACATTCTGTGTCTCTCTCCTGTCTGAATGACATGCAAACACCCTAATAACAAAAAAAAAAAATGCTGGTGTCTGTTTCTCCCCATTTCTGTTAGTGTTACAAAAGTAAAGATTTGAAACAGCATACTGTGCTTCATTATCTCTTAGCTTATGCATCCTTCTGATTGCTTCAGAAAGTAAATACAAAATGGAAGGGATTTGTTCATAATCACTGACAATAAAAAAAAGACTGCATGGTACATGTTTTCCAGCCATCCTTCACAATCACTCTACACAAAATGCAAGTCAAGTCTTGCCACTGTAATCAACTCCTTCAGAGTGTGTCATCTCCTGAAATCAACTCTTTCAAGTGTCAAAAATAATTCTTTAATGTCAGTAAGAGATGCTCCTTTAAACAGGGATTGTCAGTGTCTGTGTGTGGCTGTAGTCTGATTTGTTACATTGGCTTTATCTATAAAAAACAGCTGCACATTGGCCACAGTCAGTCTTGAGCCTGCTTAGCAGGTCACCTGTTTAGCAAGATGTGAGAGGCCAAAACAAGAACAGTGATTGATATGATTATGAAAACTCATTCCTCTCCTCAGATTGACAGTTTGCTGTCCTAATATGCCATGCAGGGCCATGGGGATGGTAACAAATGAACTACAGGCAAGCTGAGATCAGTCAGACACAGTGTCAGATTAGGACTGACATGGAACTCCCACAGTCATGCAATTCTTTCATGCTGGAGCAGAGGTGGTATTGCACTGCTCAGAACCAAAACACAGCAATGTAGCCTTAAAATTTCAGAGTAGAATTGCATGATCAAAAGAGTATCCAACTGCCATGCCAGTATATTTGTTGATTGTATTGGAACCTGGCACAAAATAGATGAAATGTGATTCACGTTCTGCTGACTGTCATTCAGAGTCATGGCATGGCTTGAGAAAGTTTCTCAAATCTAGACTTATCCATCTAGCCTTACCCATTCATCTGCAAGCAGATTTCACCATTGCTTGACATGAAGCAATGGCACTGGGTTGGACTTCTGGTAAATTGTTTTAAGGTCTTTAGTTGCAAGGCAGAATGAGAGAAGGGAGTATATTAAAAGTGGAAAACATTTTCATAAATACAACACTGGAAATGAGCAGTTTATTTTATACAACTACATTGGCTCCTAGTTTGTTTCTTATCTGAAACTGTGTAACTGTTTGTCACATCAACTATTTCACTATTATGACACACTATGATAGTTTACACTTTGACCTTTATAAAAACCTGTACTTAGATGCTAGGGTAGCAAAACATGAACAGACAGCTACCACAAAAGACTAAACCATTTCTAAAACATTAGTAAGGACATTGTTTTTCTAAGGAAGGCAAGAATAAGCAGAAGTGCTATCTAAACAGATTTTGAAAGATCAGATTCATTTAAATCCATCCCTCTAGGTACAACTAGGAAAAAAATGTAGTAATAATAGATGTATGGTAAAACAAAATATATTACTGCAAATCTTTAATCTTACTGAAAAGCTGCAGGCCTCTAAGTGAATGAGTAATATCCAGCATTAGCTTGCTGAGAGGTAAAGAAGCAGCTTGAGAACATCTTAAGTGAGCAATTTTCTCATCACTTGCTCAAATAAAGAAAACAAAAATATTTATCTTATTAAAAAAACTTCACTGTGGTTTTGTAGAGTGTTTTTGAAATCTCTACAGGGGAAAAAAAAATTAAAAGGAACAATATGATTTTTTATTCAAAGCTACTATTTTGGATCTGAACCAATAACCTCACAAACCAAAGTTCTTAAAAAGTGTTAATTCCTTAAAATCCAATTTGTACTAGACGTTAAGTATATTTTGTCAAGTATATCAATATTGGATTTACAGGATACAAAGACTGTTCATTAACATTAAAAACATTAAAATGGACTTTAAGTTGAGGATTATCAAAGATTTAAGATTAATTTTCCAATCCCTGATTTCAAGTTCACTTTTATGTTCTATGGACCTTTAGAGAACAATATTAAGTCCATATTACTTGGACTTAGTCACCTATTTTTTATTTTGTTCAGAAACACAATCTGATCTTCAGTGAAGTCACTGATGACACAGAGCTTTGACAATTATTAGCCCAATTGGGTCTTATTTCAGCAACATACTTAACCACCTGATGATCTCAAACATTTCTTAATGTTTTATGAAGTTGAGATTTTATTTTACAGAGCCATTTGTTTCTTAGAATTTAAGGGGGAGTAGAGGTAATAATGATATACAAAGTGTTTATATCACTACTTATATTCATTAGTGAATAACTGCTGATATGTTTGTGAAGACAGCAGAAGTTGAAAAAACCTGTTAACTTCCAGGGGCCAAGCTACTAATCCAGAAAAACTAGACTGCAAAATTCTCCAGTAATCCTTTTCTCCCTGTTTCTCATTATTTCTAGGAGATCAGACAACAAAAAAAGCTCTATGCTTTCAGATCTGATGTGGAACAGAGTTTACTGCTGCTATCATATAATTGTTCTTATGGTTATCTGTATACCTGCACAAACTTTTACTATTTAATTTTTCTTATAGCTTTAGAAAAATACAAAGCCTCTTTAAAACCCTGTCTGTGTGATGACAGGTTACATAGACTTTCCAAGCTCTCAAAATAGCCATGCTATGCAGTAGAAATTATCTGAGAGTAGAAAGATCAAGCTACAAAAGTATACTGCATATTTAATTTGATAATGCAATAAGTATTTGATCCTATGATTCTGTCACCTTCCAGGAAACCATTTTATATTCTTATCTGTTGGGTAAATGAGCTTTCTCAGTTCATCAGTATAGACTTTGTTAGCTATCTACATCTTCTAATCACATGATGTCTGTTTACTAGCATCTATATCTTACAAGCTTCAGCCACATTTCACTGAAATTAAAAGCAGCCTTTCATCACAGTGTGATGACATCATGCCTGTTTGTGATCTTAAGTAGCTCTGCTCCATCCTTGAACTAAGTTATTAGAGAAGATCACCCTCAGTTATTGCATTTACTAAGACTGGCTTGTTATTTTCTGTCAAGCAATTTGCAGCAAAAGCCTGAGCTTCCACTGTCTCTCAAGACTGTAGATTGGCACCTCAAATTGCTAACAAAACTGATTATGCTGTGTATAGATTCCTGTTATTATAAGCTCTGAGAAAAACATTTTGATCATCTGTTCTGATCTCCAGACTGACACAGGCTGTAATACTTCCATAAATAGTCCAAGTTACTAAATCTACAGAAAACATTGTCTTCCTGAAGTCTGTGTTAAAACCTGCACTTTGGGGTTTTTTTTTGGGTTGACTGCTGCTGCTCACAGTCTCTCACCCACATAAGGCAAACTCTGTGGAGCTGACTGCAACCATAATGCAAATCCTCTTTAAAAGCTCTTTTTCGTAGATTTAGCCAATAAATGTTTTAACAGCCAGGCACTGAAAACACTGTAGCTAAGAGCTAACACACTAACACTAGACAAACAAGACCTCTGCAACTCTCAAGTCTGTAAAAAAATACTAATTCCATGAAATTTGTACTGAGATTGTATTGCACTCATAATAACAACAACGAAAAACCTTTCACAGCACTGCTTCAGCTATTATTAGGCAACTGCTATTGATGTTTCTGCCCCAAACTATCAAATGAAGTGTACAAAAAGCTGGGACTCCTTAGCTTTTGCTTTAATACCATTCACATAAGGGGCTGGGGGGAAGTCTCCCACAATAACAAGTATTTGATCCATTCTACCACTCACTTAAATCTACCCTTAAATTCTTTTTGAAGCCATTACACTGATTTAAAGAGACTATTTAAGTACTGCTGTTATATTTAACATGAGTCAAATGTTAAAGTTCTTCCATGACCAAAAAAAATCAGTACAAAGAGTATTCATAAGAAGTCTGTTCTATGAAAATGTCTTGAAATATCCTGAAGAGCCTATTTCATTTTAAAGAATAACTTGAAAATGTAATGCCTGGTTATCAAGGGTGTTAAAACACTGATGCCTCAAATGTATTGTAATTTGTATGGTAGGGCATAGGCTGTTTCTTTACATTCAGTCCTGGGAGTCCTGGATTTGACAAATGTTTGAGGATACCACTAAAGATATAGGCAAGAGTCATCTAGAGAAATATCTCCACAAAAATAATTACATTTCTTTATATGTGGAATATTACTTAATGAAAAAAGTATTTAAAATAAAAAAGATCATAAAAGCCATGATGTGAAGAAGATTGGACAGCTTTATCTGCAGAAGAGCTAGGGAGTTTTTCAAGTGCACTCCATTGTGCAAGCCTACACTATCAAAATCATACACTTCTGAGTAAAACTGCCTTCTATTTTTTATAGTTCTCTACTGATTGCTGCAAGTTTAGTAGAATTTTAAATCCTTTGAAACTGCAAAATCCCAGAAAAGCAATTCAGTAGAAACTCCTAATTAGTTTGTGGTGCAAGAGAACAGCAGCCTTCCAGTACTTGAAGGGGCTACAGGAAACCTGGAGAGGGAATTTTCACAAAGAAATGTATTGATAGGATGAAGGGTAATGGTTTCAAAGTGAAAAAAGGTAGATTTAGATTAAATATTAGGAAGAAATTTTTAATTGTGAAGGTGGTGTGACACTGGAACAAGTTGCCGACAGCAGTTGTGGATGCCCCCAACCTGGAACTGTCCAAGGACAGGTTGGACGGGGCTTGGAAGAACCTGCTCTAGTGGGAGTTGTCCTTGCCCAGGCATAAGGGTTGGAACTACATGATCTTTAAGGTCTCTTCCAACCGAAACCAGTTTGTGATTCTATGATTTAAAAATGTGCCTCCAAGTGCAATATTGAAAGAAGTGGAAAGGAAGTTCCACCAGAGATGGACAGAGAGACAAGACTGATAAGTTAAACAAGATAAAACAGTAATAAAAAACCAATATTGAATAATCTCATCCCAGTTTTCAAGTTACTACTTACCAGGCACAGATGTTAGTCACATTTTAGTTTGCTTTTTGTGTACATTATGAATTATTGCACTTTTGCATTGGTAGACATTAGGAAAAAACCTGTAACATTAGATGAAATGCACTTTAGGGGGAGCTTCCCCCTCCTCAATCTGTTGACTGCACTTTTAATCATAAAATGGTTGGACATGAGATCCAATCAAGACTAAGGCTGTGCTAGCAAGTGACAAATCATTTCACTTCAGAAAATTATTAATCTTAGTGGCACTGTGCTTGTGTGCTGTGATTTACTGAGAACAAAATAACCTCAATGCTCAATTTAAAATTGGACACCAGTTTTGAATAATGGCACACATTTACTGATGTGATAAAGCAATTGACTAGTGAAGGTTCATTTGTAACAGAGGGAACAGCTGTACTATCAGAGATCAGATTGATGAACATAATATTGAGATACCTTTACCACAGTAAAATGCCTGCAAATTCTTTTGGGGAAAGGCAGCTGTACCAATTAAAGCATTGTCAAGATCAGGTGACAAAATTAGCTCATCTGCCTTACATGCCACTACTTGGGTGAAAACAGAGACAGGCTCAAGATCAAGCCCATGTGATAAAACATCAACATGTATCTCCCTTCTTCACCACTTCTTCATCTCACCTGCACAGTGTCTATCCCACAGCTGCACAGCTCAGAGTGCTCAGGTGTGGGTGCTTTGGTCTAATCTACCTTCTGAGGGACAGTGACCCACATGGCATGGCTATTTTATCTTCAGGTGCAATTCAGCCCGAGACACACCAACAAGCTGGAGGCAGTCTGGGAACTCTGCTAACCAGACTAGTTTGATTGATAGTCTGCCTGAATCTAAGATTAGAATTCCTTCATTTTTCATACCATTAAGCCACTTTATTACATAATCAGTTAAGCTTCACATTTTAAATTTCTTTCATCAATTACATCTACTAAGAATAAATCTAGTGAATATAGAATAGAAGGGAGTTTTACCTGAATTTTGTAGAAAACTGTACCAGTCAAATGTTTCACTGGGTGTAGTCTTAATTCCTGTGTTGAAAAACAGAGAAACACAACATGTCTGACTGCTCCCTGGATGGCTGAATTGTGTACGGTTCTTGAAGTCCTGCCCTAAGAAAACAGTATTCAGCACCTTGTGTGAAATCAGACTGAGGGTCCACTCCTAAGCTACTAACTACCACATATTTTGGAGAAAACTTTGAAATTCCTACTCTAAGGCATCTGGGATTTTTTTAAATTTTTTTTTTTAAGCACCAAATGAATTTTAAATTTAGGCTGAGTCTGAAAATCTGCCTCAATTTAAGTCAATGGCAAAAAGTTCAGCTTCAGTGAGGCCAGGACTCCAAACTTCATACACATTTCAGCAAAATATTTCTGGGGCAAAGAAGGTATATATACAAACACACAGGCACCAGACACATGATTCAAATAATTAGAAAGCCAGAATTGGTATTTCAAAACTCACCTTGAGTTTGGACATAGATTTTCTTCCTAGCATCTGGCTTTAAAGAAAAGGAGAAGAAAAGTAACTTTCATAGTTCACCATAAAAGATCTGACCAAACTTAAAAAACCACAGTGTAACAAAATGCACATAAGAATTATTTTCTTTCAACTATTATATATCAACACAGACCATTAGAAACATTTAAGTAACACCAAAATTCAACAAAGTCAGCAATTTAATTTACTATGAACATTTACAATGTCAATTAATCTATTTTGCAATTAACACAATTACCAAGTTAGTACAAACATATTTTTTAGTTTACCTCTGTATCCCTTCTCATAATCATTAGCCTGATAACTGCATACAAAATGAAAGTATTTCCCTAGACTAGAAAGACTTTCAACGTCAGAACAGCCCTAGTTCCAAAAAAATTCTAGTCTTGAAGGAAAAATTAGAGCTGGCTTTGAAACCACAGTCTACATTTACCCAAAACAGAATTTTTAAACACATTAGGCATGAAACAAACCCCACTTACATCTAACCTTTTAAAAAATTACTGTCAAATATGTGTAGACTTGTCTATACATGAAAAGGGGCCAGCAGTAGCTGCTGCACAAGAAATACTTTAAAAATACATATAATAAAGGAGGTAATTACTAGATTTTCAAAGTTACTCTTGAAATGCTACTATGCTAGTTACTTAATTTAGCTGATTAAATAAGCAAGGTCTTATTTAAATATCTTTCTGTAACTCCAACCACGAATTTGTGGAATACATTTATTTTCATTAAATCATGGACATATTCTTGGGATTCTTCCACACTGAAAAAAAAAAATAATCAACAAATCCAAATAACCAACAACACTTCTCAGCAAACAAGCCAGATTTTTGAACTCCAAGTACTTGTGCAAAGGTTTGTAGTCAGACAATTCCTACCTGTTCCAAAAGCACCAGTCACAAAGCCTATAGAGGAGTCAGCTAAGGAAGGTGTTACTCAACTGGTGTAGTCTCCAATGGATTTGCTCAATATTGCCTTGAATGTTTCAGTTTGAAACTACATTCTTTCAAGCAGTTCCAGTAATGCTATTGCTTAATTAGGCATCACAGTGTCTAGAAATGAATGACCTTTAGAGCACCAATCTTTGCTATCTTGAGACTACATCTTGCCTCCTCCTTGGTGCCAATGTCATTATGGAGAGAGGCCCAGACCAGCAGACTGTGACTGAGTCATCAACTATTTGCCTGCCATGGCTCTTTCTACAGTGCAGATGGGCTTTACCTTTCAGAAGCTATAATGGACTTCAGTGTTTAAAGCAGTTAAAATTAAGAAAAAAGGGCTAAAAGGCTATTTTATTACTTGACAGTTCTTGGTCCTTCTCCTACCCATGAATAAGTAGCATTTCAAATTAGATTGGATTTTCTAATCCTAAAAAAAAAAGCCCTACAAACAATGGAGACAGCACTGCAAGCTGGAGGCCAACCTCAGAATTTAAATTTGTAGGACAAGTGGGAGAGCTGAAACTCAGCACTAGGACACAGATGCAGCAAAACAGAAGGTGGGAAAAAGCAGATGGAACAGAGAGCATCTTAGGGCAGCCCTGCTTCCACAGCTGACATACTGCACAGTCCTGCCTCAAATTGGTTGGAGATAGGTTTTTAGTCCCCTAAAACCACCAAGTTCCAAAAATAAGCTTAAGTTAAACATCTGGTTTCATGCTCTGCTGGACCTTTAATGGCTTATAGTGAGTAAGAATAATCCTGCCAGGGCTTGGATCATCAAGAAGAAAATTGCAGGAACACTGTCTAACATGGCACACAGATGTATTCACACTTTATAGATCAATTTTCTGTTATGTTCTTTTTTTTAAATGGTCTTCAGGAGAATGGAAAAATGAAATTGAATGCTAATAAAACTGGCTTTGGTAATTCTTATGCACCAGTTTTATACTACTGAAATAAAACACTGACTGTAAGCACAAGATCTTTTACAGTATTTCAAACTCACTCAGAACACAGATTATTACAAATGTTGCATTATGTATGTCATAATTAAAGATAATTTATCCAAGGTAATAGAAAATAATTTGTTGGAAGATACAGCCCTTGAGCACAGTACAATTGCTCACATGTTCGCAATTTAAATTCTCAATTGGCTGTCTAACTAATAAAACACTCATTAGAGGAATAATACAGTTCACATTAGTGTGACTTAATATGTAAAAAGAGTTACAATTCTGTGACCTAGGTATGGAAAGATGTATTCATATTCTTCACTGTTTGAAAGTAAATGTGTGTCATTTGCTATCATCCTTTCTATGAAGATACAGCTGGAAAAAGAACTCAAAACTCCAGCATTTAAGACACAGGTCAGCAGGTGGTACTTCAGTTCAGCACTCCACAGACTTGCCTTCAATTCCCTGTCTGCCACAAACCTTCTCCAAAACACCGAGTGAGTCTCCTAGGCCTGAAAAACAAAGGTCTTTTTATCCCAGTATGTTGTCCCTTACTGTCAGCCAAATAGTTAAGCTTACCCTTCACTGGATCTGGTCGTCAATGCAGTTCTCTGTAATCCAGTACAAGACTTTAGCCAACAAGTTAGCTAGAAATATGAGCTTGCACAGCTGGGCCACCAAGCTGGATCAGCAAGTCCTGCTGCCTAGTCTGGAGTTTTTCACAATTTACCAGTGCAGCCTGAAACTATCCAAAAGCACTACCTGTGCTCAAATGACTAACAGCTCTTCATTGTCTTACTCTGCTCTTCAAAAACCAGGACTGGGGACTGAATACTTCAAGGATTTGTCTCAATTTTCCCCACTGGCAGTCTGCCATCAACTCAGCCACAGAAGGGTGAAAATGTTGACCCAGTCTATTTTCAAACAGGAGCATCAAATCCTAAAAATAATTGCACTGAATGTCTGAAGTAGACCTGCAATACAGCAGATGCAATGGTACCTACTAAGTGAAAAGAAAGAGAACCAACCATTATTACTGCCAGTTCTCTGCTGGCTAAATAACCATCTTAAAATACACTGCCAAATGAATTTAACCACTGTACCGTTGGATAAAAATAATTTTATTAAATATTTTCCCTATGTCATTTACAACAGAGTGTTTTGATTTGTTTTCAGAGGGAGAGATGAATTTTAAGAAAGTTCAGTGCTATTTATGTGCTACATATCTCTCAAGGCCTGTTCAATGGGGGTGTATGTCATCTATTGCTGGCTTAGCATAACCACAGTTTTAGCTCTGCACCTCAAGAAGTTAATTCTCTTCCCAGTGTTGACAGAACAAGTATTTTTTAATTATTCTTCCAAATTCTCTATTGCAAGGAAAGCTGTTTAGTGGAATTTTGGCATGATAAAGTTTATTAAATTATGCAAAAAGAAACAATATATGCATGTTGTAACAGGAGAGATAAGATAACAACAGCAATGATTAGTTTTAAATGTTACAGAGAAGCACTTCCTAAACTGCTGTAAACTCTTCAAATACTAAACAGCTTTTTAATGCCAGATCTATTTGACCTGCCAAAGTACATAAATATGAAATGTCTTCTCTGAAGGGAAAAACAGAAGTGGAGAAAATTAAGATTATTACAATTCTCTAGCATTATTTAGAAAACATTTTAGGAGAATGTACAGTTGCTAGGACTATAAGCATCACAATCATTACCATGTAAACATACCCACTCTGCTGCTGCCAGTTCCTTCATTTTCATGGTGAAAGCCACTGCAAACCTAGTAAAATGAACAAAAATAGCTGTGATCATCTGCTTAAAGTGGCTAAACGTAAAAACAGAAAAGTACCTCAGAAAAAATCTTTGTATGAACAAAGAGTGGAAGCTTCTAAGCATCATTTTTTATGGGAAAACAGAAAGCAGGCTTAATCCCTTAAAACAAATAGATTGTTTTAAGAAAAAATACTGGCAAAACAAATGATATCTCTTCAGGCTTTACTGCTTAGAGCTCTTTGGGAGATAAAGTGAGGACTTCTTATAGTAAGAGAAAAACCAAATAGTGAGAACATCCCCCAGTTTATCTAGATTAATATATACAGATGCAGTGTTTCTTGATTCTAAATCATTGCAAGCTGCAATAACCCTCTCCACAATCAGAAAGCTAAGAAGGAATCCTAAATTCAGTTAGCTTCATACTATTGTTATTTGACAACACCCAGTCCCTCTGTTTGCAACATCTTAATGGTTAGAGGTGAATGGACACACTGGTAAGTCACATAGTATTTTTTCCATTGGAGACATTATGTCATAATTTGAGGTCACAAAATTATAATCGTTCATTAGAAGTCACATAAATGCTGAATTATAACTCCTACTGTTATTTGTTGAAACAAGCCTTATTCCTATTTTTTTTTTGTAATGTCTGTTTTATGAATTCCACTTGTGCAACTTAACAGCTTTAAGGTTAATAAAGCCTTTGCAAACACTTGTTTTGTCAAGTTGCACAGGCTCCCTTTCCAGATTTTGCAATTATACTTTCAATAAATCACATTAACAAGCAGAAAAAGCTGTCACTCTTAAGTCTACAGAATACTGTTCAATATATAAATAAAAAAACCCAACACACTAGAGAAGTACAATCACCATTTAGAGGAATTTGATTAAAAATGAAACACTCATTATAAAGCTAGACAGTGTTCAATACTTTGTTTTATAAAACGTGTTGGTATATTGTAGTGAACAAGTAACCTACAATTCTTAGAATCTTACAATCAATAATGAAAACAAAAAATCAATGTTTCTTTCAATAATTAGGCAATTAATAATACCAGTGATAATATTGGAGAAGAGATCCATTCAGAACATCTTCTAGAAAAATTAATTACTTTTCCATCCATACTACCATATCTGAACCTCTGTGGTTATCTGCTTTAGATACCACCACTGCTGTGGTGAACAGAGACATCCTGAGCAAGCTTTGCTCAGCAAAGTATTTCAGTTCTGCTAAAGTGTGCAAGCAGTGCCACCAGATTTGATATGATGCTCACATTTTATAACATCTAGTACACTTAGGGACCCCTTTCACTTCTGGAGTGGTGACTCTTCAAAGTATTCGAGTCTCCAGCCACAGTATAAGTTCTGTGAGGCGGAGTGACCTGTTGCAGCAGCTCACTGCCACCAAAAAGACATCCTTCTCCTATCCTTTCACAAGCTGACTTATTAAAGTGGTAGAGAACTAACCCAGAAAATATAAGTCAATTTTACATCATGTAGTGAGTTAAACCTGCTCAGAAAGCAGTCCAGTCCTGCAGATGGAAGGGTGGATCATACAACTCCAAGCAAGAGGAAGGGGAAGGAGTGGAAGAGTTAGCAGTATAGTCCTCCCTCCCATGAGCGAGCTGTTACACTGGCTGCAGGTGAATCATAAAATAATATGTAGAGATCGTAGGGATTTGAAGTAGCCTGTCCTTTGTCTTCTGGCTTACCCATCTCCTAGTGTTTCTGAACACTTATGGAACAGTTACTAAAAGATCTGCCATTGCAAAACTGCAATTTCCTGTCGGAAACCTTCCCCACATGCTTTTACCTGGCTTCTCCTAGTACTGCTCCCATTACCCGACGTTTCTCTTCACATTTGATGTCTTCATTTACATCTGTCCCACCAAAGATGATTCCAAAAGGAATTCTGCTACCTACAAGGCAATGACAATGATGAGAAGTTGATCAACAAGTCAAGTTAATTACTAGAAGGAGACACTAAGACTGAAAACCATATTGATTAATACTTTATCATATATTTAAGCAAAAGCACTTCAATGCCAACAGCAGCTGGGTGTACCTGGACAAGGCCAAGGACTAATTAGATGAAAACACAAAAGCAAACAGCAGTGTAAAACTCCTTTCTAATAGTATTTATTTTTTGGGAGTCAGGTTATTTTTAATAACTGAGAAGTTAACAGTTCTCCCATTAAAGTATTCAAAACAGCAGGCAATGTTTACTGCAAACTATTAGGTGGTCAGCTTAGCAGCACATCAAGCTAACAAATATCAGAGTCGTGGTAGCTAATTATTATATGCAGAACACAGTTTTATATGCCAAAGGGGACTGCACTTTGCAAAAGAAACAGTCTCCAGTAAGACAGCAGGCAAAGTCTGTGTTCTGTGGACTTTACAGCTTTCTGTTAGCTGTAACAGATGAAGCCAAAGTTTCCTTCTGACTGTGAACAAGAATAAGCAGTCAGACTACACTGCCACTGCAGACTGTGTATCGAGACAGACAGAAAATAGGTGTTGTCTTCCCTTTTGTTGTTGGATGGAAAGGGAGAGGGATCAAGGACTCATAGAAAACAGTGTTCTCAGCACTGGACCAACGAGCAGGGCATTAGAGATTACTGTGTTGATGGAGGTTCTTCCTTTTGAGATATAACTGACATTGAACGTTCATGGCTGTGAAAACTATTGATGACATCTACAGCTACCCACAGTGTCTTAAGGGATGGAGGAGAAATGACAGGTTAAATTCAGTGAACTCTCATCATTCAAATTCATGGTTAAAAATGAGCAAATAGAGAAATCTTACAGGAAAAGGGGAGCAAAAGAAATCAGTTGGCAAAGACAGAAAACACACTATGTGTCTCACATTTATGTTTGAAAATTAAGTGAGCTGCAAGATGCTATTAGCATTCCTAATTTGCTCATTACTAAATGAAAGGACAAACAAACAGAACAAATGACTATTCACCATTGTGGCTATCTAAAGACTTTACTCAGCATTTTTAGATAAAATACTCTAATGTTTGCAGAAGAGAACTTATGTGTCCTATGTAAGCACCACAGTACTAATCTTCAGGAGACTGACTTTCTGTAATACTATATAAAATATATATTGCCTTTCTAATAAATAAAAAAGTAAATAGTTATGCAGTGTATTGCATGTGCTGATCACACATCCTCAGTCATGTATCCAGGATGAGGCTCAAAAGATTGGTAGCATGGTAGTAATGGTAGCATGACTGTAATGACTCAAATTCTTTAAGGTATTTCTTAATTTAGGGTATGGAATAATTAAATGTTACAAGAATCAGAAATGTCCTCTCAATCACTTCTTACTTCCAAGAAGGCTACAATAACTTTGACACTTTGACAGCAATTACACTACTTACTGTCTTGGGTTGCACATACTTCTGTTTCATTTCTGTTTCTGTTATTGCAGATGGTTTCTGGAACAGTGTGACTCTGACTTATTTAAATTACTGAGCTTTAGTAAATTGTTCAAGTATCAGACTTTGTAGGTCACTTGGGATTTTGAAAAGCTAATAGCAACAGTATTTGGGGAAATGCTATGCAAGTCAAAACTCCAATCAAGTTTTACAGTAAACTGTTAAAATCCAACCTTATTTTGTGTTCATTAAAAAACGGACAGTTTTAAGACACTCCATAAGCCTCATCCAAAACAGTTCTAGGTCTTGTCACAAAAACAATCATCTTTATATTCCAACAAGAGAAGTCTGAATATGTACGTTAGCAGAGATCATCCTACAGAACTATTTTTTAATTTGCATTCAGGCTTTCCTCATGAAATCAGAGCTCCATTGTAACAAGACACAAAAGCATTTCAGACATCATAATTCAGGATTTCCGAAAACCCACCAGCACAAATTGTGGGCAGACTTCTTAAATCTGAAAACTAGCACTAGATCTGATGAAACTATCAAATCATGTACCTTTGTTCATGTGAATAGATTTGTACAATAGGAATGTGATCTCAAAAATGGATACACACTTGTCATTTCAGTAGGTAAGTGTCTGTAATTTTGAAAGCCAGTGCTTCTAGTGTGTCATTAATGGCAGGCTAAATGTTGTTCTACACAGCAAGATATAATGGCAAATTTTATTATTTACCTAATAACATCCTGTCTCTTCCAGTTTAGCTGGCATGGATGACATCTCAAAGTTATTTCATGTCCAAAGAACTGACTCATTTTTTAGTAGATAAATCAAATTAGCCTCTCTGCTTGCTTCTATTTGACCTCAGCTATACTTAGCCAAGCCACTGTCCTCTGAAAGAACGTATTTGCTGAAAGTATCTTAATGTTAACCTAATGCTCTTATCTTAATGTAGTTGAAGTACTTAATTATGAAATGCACTATGTGCTTTAAAAGTACATTTATTTAGTTCTTTCCTCTCTGGATCAGATCTTCCGCAGAGAGAGATTTTCAGCATTTCTGGACAGGTGCTGGAGTGGATAAACAGAATAACTGAATTACATGTGGATTTATACAGTTATAACCATTGATAACTGTTTGTATTAATTCTCTTCTCTTTCAATACCATTTCAAAAGGTATTTTTATTGCAAAATAGAAAGAGGATTACCTTGCAGAAGTCTGCCTCCTTTATATAGATGAATGGCCAGGGCTGCATCAAACTTGTTTGCAGAGGTTAGATTTGCTACTTCTGTTGGACTCTCATAAGTGAAAGCATCTTTAAGAATGCAGACATGACCTGCAGCATGTAGATGATCCCTTCATTATTGGAACAAATAGAAAAAGAAAAAAAAAATATTAATGATGTAGGCATGCCAGTATATGAAATAACATTAATTTAAATGTTTTTTCATAATAATTTCTGCTCCAGTATTCACCTTTATGCTAATTTTGTCCAAGCAGCCATGGAGGAGCTATTTACAAGGGTTTGTTGGCTGTTGTGTTTTTCCTGGGTAATATTTGTAACATTCACCATTGTGAAACCACATTCACACTTCCACTCAACACAATCTGTATCCATTTTAAGGCCCACACCTACAAACTATCACCACCACTTTGGAAATCAGCAGAAGTCAAGTATGATCAGCATCTTTCCTGACTGAGCTTCAGCTCCATATGCTGGAAAGACTCCTTTCAAACTGAGTGTGTTAGACCTTGGTCTTAGAGATTCTCAGATCTGGAGAAAGGCTGCTGAGTGAAGGAAACACAAATATGTCCAGGTAATCAAAGCTATTACAAATACAGAAATGAAAAAAAAATGTTCGCAGGGGCAAAAAATATGAATGCATAAATAGAACTTAAGGGTTGTTCTGCTTGATTGTGGATTTAATTGCTTCTTGTCTTAGATTTGTAAAAGATTTGTAGAACAGGCACAGGATAATTGAAGTATAAGAAAAAACCTACACAAAAGTAATTACACAAATACATTCACAGTCTTTTTTTTAAAGTCTCAATTGATAAAATTAAAAAATAACCAAAATAAACCCTTCCTCCACTTCTAGTGTCAGCTTACCCATACATCTTTATATACAGTGGTTTCTCATATTAAAACATTGATTAAAAAACTGGCAAAGTCAAAAATCTGATTGATTAAAGAGAGCTTTACTTTAGGCATTCTGGTGAGCTTTGTTTTAGTCTTCTATTTTTTACTCTACACTCATAATTCCTCTTACTGAAAAAAGAACCAGTTATCAATGTTTCCAATGACATCAGCCAAAAAACATCTAGGAGAAAATCCATGCTTTGATAGAAAATAGCACACTGCATCTCTGACATGTAGTGTTTACATTTTCATTATTATAAAAAGACCAAAAGGATGTTTTCTGCTTATTACATATTGTTCCAGTTGACTTACTTCTCACAGTGTATTAATTGTTCTGGCATTAAAAGCCTGCTAGCTCAATATCTTCTTTGATAACGTCAGCTCTTTCCTTTCCTGATCATTTCATACTCTCCCAAGGAATGTAATTTTCTGTCCTCAGAAGTTAGTCATTACTGCAGAAATTGGTGCTAAAAATGTTGTAAAATGTCTTGAGGCCTTGTAAGGAATGTATTAGCACCATATCAGACAGAGCTCCATTGGCACAACATATGGTGCTGTATTTGCTCCTTATTCTACAAAGAAACTCATTTTACTTTTAACTTCACTCTTTGAAACAAAGCAATAAATTACTATAAGTACTAATAAATAATAAAATACAGCCAGATTGTAAGCTCCTTATTTACACTGTTGAGCAATTATTTACATCAGTTGTCCCATGAACTTGTACGAAGTACCCCCTTGCCTTTTGAACGAGGCTCTCAATTTATATCTGAATAATGATGCCCAAATCACACAGCTGTAGAAAGAAAAATCTCTGGGGCAACGACTCAGATGCTCGTGCATGTATTCCAGAATTTCACAGGTGCTCATTAAATAGACTATACGAATTTTTTCCCATCAGCATTCCAATTACCATAAATCACTATCATGTAGAAGCAATATGTTTGCATCTTACAATTAATTTGAAAATAACTCTCTCGGGACATCAGAAATCAAGAAACACACCTAGGAATTTTGATCTTAAGTGGTTTTTTTTCCTAATATACTAGGAATGAATATTTTGCCTTTTGTTCACAGTCTCCACAGCTCCAAATCTCACTGCTTAATGACAGTTTTTCTGCAGTAAATTGAGGGGGACTCTCTTGAGTGTTCCAAAGGCTCAAAAACTGTGCATTACCTCTGTTGCTTCAATTTTTTCTACACATGATGACTCAGGAGTATGTAAGAAAAATTGCATACATCTTAAGAAGGAAAAACTATAAATTATTCCCAGAATAATTTGCATTCCCAGATGTAAAGAAGCCTTAATCCCATAAACACAGCATTGAGTTCAATATTAGTCACAGACTTCAGATTATGCATCTATGGAAACATAATGTGCATAGAAGCAGAGTTACTGGGTAGTATATAAATATTGAAATTTACAGTGATATTTTTGTATTTTCTAAGTGACTTCTCATCTTTATAACAAAAAAAAAAAAAAGGAAAAAAAAAAAAAGCAGGCTATGATTTTCACACATATGCTGTTATCAAGGAACATGATAAGAAGGTGCTGCAAAGCTACTGCAGGAGATTTTTTCCAAAGGCTGATCTGTCTATGAAGTCACAAATGTCCCTGAATCGAGCCAAGACAGAGGAGATACATTACCCAGCTTTTCTCCTCCTGGCAACTGCATATTCACATTATTTTGCCATTTCATAAACAAATACTTTCTGAGTGAAAAATAAAAATTACACATCTTCTGCTGTCTGTGAATCCAAGACAACACTTAAAAGGCTAAATCTCAAGGCTACATTTTCTCTCTATCACTGTTTTGTATGTGGTAGATAAATTTCTTTATCTGGTTTTAATAACCAGTGAATATTGCTTGGATCCGTATCTTTCCCTTCTACACAAATGTCACTGCTTGGGGAGAATAAGATCTCTAAAATGGAGTTTGGCTGTCACATTCCAGATTTTGTGCATTTTGCTAGGAAGCAACCAAACAGGGAAAACTTCATTCATTCAGTAAGTTTGAAAGATCATTTCTTAATCTACTTTATCTAAGTCACTGCTTACACTGTGATATTTATATACATCTGAATATTGGACAAAATATTTCCCAACCTTTCTGATTTGATTTTTCAGGAAATTCCTCTTTTTTGAAAAAAAATACATTATTTGGAAATCCTGAGGCCTATAAGAGAAACTTATAACTGCTCTAAATCTATACTGTGTGCAGAGGGATAGTGCTGAAAGGTACAATCCTTTTCTGACATGTTTGCAATTTATTAAAGATTTCTACAGAAAAACAGTTTTCTCTAACAAAACTATGAACTAGCAGGTGATGTTTTATCATGTTTCATTTTTTATTTCCTACATTATTGACCAATACTTGTCACTTACCCTTCCCTCCTTCAACCTTAGTCTGCAGTTCTCAGGTCTACATAGATAGATACAGTTTTATAGTTCCAAACACAGCAGAGCTGAAGCTAAGACACAAGCAAATTAAAAGTATGCTTACCTCTAAAGTGTTGTACTTTTGAAACTTATTTGTTTTCTGTGATGTCTTCCTGTCAAAAATATGTTCTAAAATTCTACTGATATCTCAATGGAATTACTTGCAGACAAAGAACGTCTGATTTCCAAAAAGTTCTTGATAGGTAGATGCACTGACACTTCTTGAATGGTACAAAATAGGCTTAATCCAAAAATATTAATTCTCTCCTTCCCTAGGCTGTCTGTTCTGTAAAGTAGCTGTGCATCAATTGTTACATCTTTAGAGCATGATTCAAAGATTAAGTGAGCTGAGACACCTCCACTGCCTTTTCTGAAACTTGACCAGAGCTGAATACTCAAAATTCCCACTGACATGATGGAATTAGAAGAGGTAAAACCCTGCTTCATCATCTCAGAGACAAAGAACGTCTGATTTCCAAAAAGTTCTTGATAGGTAGATGCACTGACACTTCTTGAATGGTACAAAATAGGCTTAATCCAAAAATATTAATTCTCTCCTTCCCTAGGCTGTCTGTTCTGTAAAGTAGCTGTGCATCAATTGTTACATCTTTAGAGCATGATTCAAAGATTAAGTGAGCTGAGACACCTCCACTGCCTTTTCTGAAACTTGACCAGAGCTGAATACTCAAAATTCCCACTGACATGATGGAATTAGAAGAGGTAAAACCCTGCTTCATCATCTCAGTTTTCTCTGTAAATTATCTTATTTTTTTTTTTTTTTTTTTTCATACTTGTTAAGGCAATTTTTATATTTTCTTTCTTTCTTAAACATCTCCTTTAAACAACACAAATTGTGTTGACTTGAACGAAGCATCAATCAAATCCACTGTGAATAAGAGCAGAAACCAAAAATATGAGAGAAACTGGGGAGAGAACCCTTCAGTTGCTATGTCCTGAGGTCAGCTACTGTTCTTTTAAAGGACAAAAAACTTTGCAAAGTTTAATCCCTGCCTTATACATAGGTCTAGCCATGAAAAACATTTTTGGGATGCAGCATACATCAAGTGCAGGCCATGTAAATGATTGCATCTCAGTTCCAAAGGTGGAGGGTGGAGTGCCTGCCTTACAGCTGTCCTGCTCTGGGAATGGCCATGCAAACAAGGGCAGGAATTTACTGGTTCCTGTGCAAACCAATGTAGGGAGGTAAAACCTCTTAAAATCTAACAGGAAGAGAAGAGGACCTCCTGCTGTACAAATGCTCTTCTGTGTAATTTTAATGGCAGCAGATAGTGTAAGAGTAAATAGAAAATAAGTCGGGGCTCAGAATTACTCCAATAAATGTCTATGCTGAAAAATAATTGTAAAGAGGAATGATAAGCATTATTGAATTTGTGGGTTTAATTCTCTTGCAGTTGATTACCTGGAGATTTACAGAACAGCTATTTCAAGTGTCCCTTTTCAAATGAGAACCAAAACAATTTCTCCCTCTCTAAAATATATTTATATATTGACAAAATACTCAATACAAATCTTTCTAATTAACCAATTAATTCAAGATTTCTGTTCTTCCCTACTTCCAAGTAGTAAAAGATGAACAGAACATTTCAAGAGGCAGAGAAGATCCATTTATTTTCTTTTCTAATGTCTTTTTTGATCTAATTTCTCAGGCTGAAGAATGGCAGCCTAACCAAAGACTTGTGCTTAGTGTTTTGTTCTCTCCTCATTGCTCATACATTTCAAGGCGATTAAAGATTATGCAGATCAATACGGATACAGCCCAGAGCACATTCATTGCATCATTTGTTTCAGGGAGCTGATTCCTAGCCAAATTAGATTCTGGTATCTTTATCATCAGTTACTTTAAACTCAGGAAATTAATACCTTATTTATGGAAAGATGAAGCAGTTATAGGAACTGCTGTAATATCATAAACATAGTATACACAGTGATATTAAGCCATAAAATTAATCTATGCTGGCAAGGGTCCAACCTGCAGACAACTTCATTGTTTCATTTCTACTTAACTGAAAGTTGCCATTGTTCAATATATATAAAAAAAGATGGAACAAATAAATTAATAAGCACGTATGCAGATACAATTGAAGCCGAGTATGAACTGAGAGTGTATATTTTCTGTGTATAATACACAGACTACAAAGGTTACCATATGCACTCAACCTCAGGTATTGCAGATTAGTGCAAGAAGTGACATCCCCAAGACTTTGGCCATACATTTACAGTTTTGTTTTGGTTTTTGTTGTTGGTTTGGTTTTTTTTAATAGCACAAAGTCTTAAGAAAACCAGTGCTAGATAGAAGCATCTGCATAGGATGGTTTTAGTGATCACTGTCACTTGACTAGCCTTTTAGTCAGAAGGGCAGATTTAATTGCTAGCTAATAGTCTTTTTTTTCCCAATCAGACTGCTTCTTTTTTCCCCTGAATGGGCTCATTTTTTTATTATTATAAATAACATCCATAGTAATCCTAAATTATCAACAGAACAACATAAATTAGCAATAGAACAATGTAAGTTACTCTCAAACACTATTTCTGTTAGAATCCTTTTTCCACCTTTCTTGTGAATGTGAATGAAATTGACCTTCCACTTGTTACACTCTTTCTTTTTGAAGGTCTACGTGCATGAGGAAGCAGCATCCACTCTGTAAACTACACCTATAAAGCTACAGGATGTCAAAGCAAGTTGGTGTACCCTATACAGACCACTGCAGATGTGTTCACATAGCTGCATATGATTGCACCAAAGGGGTAACATGTTAAACCATCTGTCAACATCTGCTGCATCTCACCAAGTCTATATTCTTTCATACAAATTAGCTTAGGCCACCATGCATGAGTTATGGCTGGAGAAGGTTAACCAAAATTGCTGGTTACTGTGACTCACATCAAGACACCTTGTTAAACTACTGTGTTCTAATACAGTATGCTCACATGATCATAATCAAACTCAGCTTAGTTAGAAGACAACCTGAAATATTGGACATTTGTTTGGCTTATTCAGGCTTAGTTTAACTAGAAATAATGAAAAACCTGCTTTCCACTAGATTACCTTTGAATGGCTGCAGAATCTAAATGCTTGTCTGACTTTTTTTTTTTTGACATGGAAGATGAAGGTAAGTGAATGTTTAAGTTGTATAAGCAGAAGAAATAATCTAATGGAGAAAGAATGAGCATGAAACTCCCCAAGAACAAATTGTTTAGAGATTAAAGGAAATGCAGAATGCCACAGAGAACACCATACATGTGCCAACATGGACAGGTAAAAGAAAAATATATGTTATAAGCATAAGAATGTATTTGTTTTATCTTAACATTATTATTAAAAAGCAAAAAACTCCAAATTTCTCTGGCCCTTATACCATTTGCTTTCTATCTTGAATGCTTGGGTGCTGACATGAAGCAGCAGGAACATTCCATCACTATCTGGTACAATGCAGTAGCCCTGCACAAATCTAAGACTCAACTTGCTATGACACAACTCATGTGAGATCTTAAACAATGTCAGAGGATTATTTATATGTTTAACATTAAAATGTGATAATATGCAGATCAAGCTAATGGAAAACTTGTGATAGCAGAAGGCTATCCCAAGAGATTAATCCTAAGAAAAACAACTGAACTGCAAATAACTTTCACAGATCAGAAGCAACCACGTCCTTATTCTGGGCCTCAAGAGGACAAAACCATTGAGAAATTGTGTCATTTTTATGGTTACTTATTTTGTTTTAAACAAAGTTCCCATGCACAGCAAAGCCCTCAGAGATGCTGCCAGCCACATCCTTTTTCCACATCACAGAAAAGGTTAAATGGGAACATTAAGAATATTTATGCAGCTCTGTCAGCCCCAACAATTCCAAAGCACTACAGAATCACATCCGTAATCTCCCTGAGAGCTGCGTGTTGAATCCCTTCAGCAAGGACTCTGACTGGAGAAGCTCTTGCACAATTGCTGCTCTAGGATGGCTCCTGCATGGACCCTTATTTCAGAGCTCCCAGAGCCTTCTGCTCTTCGCATGGACTTATCATCTTACTCTGGGTATTTCCCACAGCGGGCAGCCCTGAGGAAACCCACTGATAAGGCCGGCTGAGCTCCATGGGGCAGCTGGTGAGGCGGCCTCTGGTCAGCCCGGGTCACCCTGCAAGTGAAGCTGCTCCTGGGCCAGCAAACTGCCCTGACCAAATAAGGGCTTGTTTGTTTCGGACGGGTTTTTTGGGGGTCAGGGGACGAACCCCTCGGCTCCCCCTCTCCCTTACTCCCCAGTACCACAGGCAAAGGGGAACACGTTGCCCAGACAGAGGCACCAAACCGCAGCGGGGGCCCCCCGGCCAGCAGGCCCCG